CCTTATATTCAAAGCATAATTATGGTCAACCCCATAGGATATAGAATAGAATGTGAGTCATACTTTCAGATGTGATATGGACATGTTGGAAATATAATCAACTTCACAAATATTGTTCTGCACATAATTTTAGATGTCACATATCTGGGTTGCATGGCAGTGACACAGGAATTCCCAAGTAACATTCTAGCTGCTGGAAATACTGTTGGAGAATAAGAACAAAGTTCAAACTTTCATGGAATTTATCTTCTAATGGAGAAAACAGAAAAAAAATAATTGGCTACAATATCAGAGAATTTTAAAGACTCTCATGTACAGCATTTGTGACTTATCTCAGAAGTAGAAAATGCTTCTGAAAAGTAAGGGAGAAGCTTACAGAGTTTTCTGATGATTACTGTGTATCATATCAGAGCAGTGACTTCCAAAGTGGAGTGCATTCACCCTAGGAAATTTACAATAAGACCTATTAGGAGAAGAAGTAAAATGTTGAATCTGAGAAAATAAAGAAAACATTAAGGCTTAAAATTTTTCAATTGTTGTAAGTTTGAATGACTATCTGATAAATCAGTATATATGTGCAGGAGTCTTGTGACACAGTGCCTAAGGCATTTGACTGTTAAACAGAAGGTTAGCAGTTCTAACCCACCAGTCACTCTGCAGAAGGAAGATGGGGCAATCTGCTTCCTTAAAGGTTTACCACCTTGGAAACCCAATGGGGGTCACTATGAGTCAGAATCGACTCAATAGCAATGGTTGTTGTTGTTGTTGTTTGGTTTATGTGCACCTTGCCAAAAGGTTGGTGGTTTGAACCCACCCAGAGGCACCCTGGAAGATAGTTCTAGCTAACTGTTTCCAAAAGGTCATCCTTGAAAACTCAATGGAACCTACTCTGTAATACATGGAGTTGCCATGAGTTGGAATAAATTAATTGACAACTAACAACAATATATGTTTATATAATTGATAAATAAATAAATACACACACACACACACACACACACACACTCCCACATATATATATTAAGGGACATCTTTAAAAACATTTGTGTTAAAGGGGTACATAATCAGATAAAAAGAGACTACTGGATTAGAAAATTTTTTCTTAGCTAAAGTTAAAAATCACCTATTTCCTTAGAAGACCTTGATAAGAGTATTCTTTGTCAGAAATAAACTACATGGAATACAATATAATATTTGATGATGGGGAGACTAGCACTGTGAAAAGAATGAAAAGGAGGCACCTGATATAATATTAGTAATTTCATTTCTAAAGCTATAGAAATGACTTGGATTAACAATATATCTACTAGGAAACTCTGACTAAAATAAAATATTGTTATTAATTCAAGCTTACCTTCTATCATATTGTCTTAACTTATTTTTTCTTTTAATTTTCATAGTCCAAATTTGACTGCCTGGATCCAGAAATGCTAAATGCCCAGGTTACTAAATATGCCAAATTTGTGGCTCAGTTGGAAAAAGGCTTGCCACCCAACAATGTAGTGCCCCAGCTCAAAAATAAGGTGGAAAAAATGAAAGAAAAGGTAAGGTCATTAGAAATTATTTTAAAAATTCCAGGTCAAGTGGTTATAACTTGATGCTAATGAGACAGAAATCAGGAATCTTCCCCATTTAAGTTAGTCTGCTTTGAAAAGAGAATAAAGAATGCATAAATTCAATTTTTGAAGATGCACAGGCTGTGTTGCTATTTTCAACTGACCAAATCATGCAGTTGAACACCTTGGTTAGAAGGGCCTTTCAGAGTAAAAGTTTCCCAAGTGGTGATAGGGCAAATAGTGCATGAATGGGTTGCAGGTGTGCCAAGATACTTATCCCTTCCACCCTGAGGCAGCCAGATGAGGCTAGGCAGCTCTGTGCATTTATATCACTGCATCATACAAATACTACCGTTTTCCAAGTGTGCCATGATATGGACAAAGTTTGGGAAGCTGAACAGTAGGTATGCAGCAATATCTCTTGGAAACTTATTACTGCTGAGCCAGTGCTTAAAATGGAGAGGAAAAGGGAAATCACTGTATCCTTTTAACCGGTTTGCATTAGGTTTTTTAAGAGATCAGATAAAAGAGTAAAAGAACACTTGGGTAGAAAAAGATAAGCAAAGCTTCAGGCACAATGAGAAGCAAATTTCCCACCTTGAGTGTTTTTATTCAGGTCTTTTGTTTTGATTGTACCTTTAGACTTACAGTATCTAGTCAAAACACTCTTATCGAGAGTGATTTGGGTCATCTTTTTCTTTGTCATTTTCAGTCTGGTTATATGACTGTATTCCTGATTGTGATTATTCATTACAGTGTGCATTACATCTTGGGTCCTCTCAAAATCTTGGTTTATTCATTTATTTTTATTTTTTTTATTTCATGCAGTGAAAGTTACTCTTTGTGATATACAGTTCTGTGGGTTTTGACAAATGTGTAGTCATGTATCCAATACAACAGTACCATACAGAACAGTTTCATCACTCCAAAACTTCCTTTGAACTTTCTTTTGTAGTCAGCCCCTCTCCCTATCCCAGCCCCTGACAACCACTGATCTGTTTTGTGTCCCTATTGTTTTACCTTTTACAGACTATGATATTAATGGACTCATACAGTATGCAGCCTTTTAGGTCTTTTTTGTCTCACTTAGCAAAATGCATTTAAGCTGTATCCATGTACTCAGGCCTGAGGTAGGCAGGCACATGGCTTGGGGGCTGCTTTCACTTGGGGGTGGCTGTATTTTAAGGTCATTGCCTGAGGTAGGCGGGTGCAGAGGGGTTAAGAATAACTAAGGGAGACAAACTTATCTGTCAGTTTGTCATCCTGCGGTGGCTTACATGTTGCTGTGAGGCTGGAGGCTATGCCACCAGTGTTGCAAAATGCCAGCAGGGTTACCCAAGGTGGACAGGTTTCACTGGAGCTTCCAGGCTAAGACAAACTTGGAAGAAGGAAGAGGCCATCCACTTCTCAAACAATTGGCCAGTGAAAACCTTGTGAATAGCAGTGAAACACTGATATATCACTGGAAAACTTTATGAACATCCCTGAAACATTTTCTGATATAGTGCCAGAAGATGAGTGCATCAGGTCAGAAGGCACTCAAAATTTACTAGGGAAGAGCTGACTGCTCAAAGTTGAGACAACCTTAACAATAGGGACAGAGTAAAGCTTTCAGGACTTCCATTGGTTGATGTGGTATGACTCAAAATGAGTAGAAACATGCAAACATCCATTAATAATTGGAAAGTGGAATGTGTGAAGTATGAATCTAGAAAAATTAGAAGTTGTAAAAAAATGAAATGGAACACATAAAGATTGATAATCCTAGTCATTAAGGAGCTGAAATTAACTGGTTTGGCCATTTTGAATCAGATAACCACATGATCTACTATGATGGGAATGAAAAACGGAAGAGGAATGGTGTGCCATTTGTCATCACAAAGAGTGCTTCAAGATCTATCCTGAAGTACAACACTGTCAGAGTGATAGGATAATAGCCCTACTCCTACAGGAAGACCAGTTAATACTACTATTATTCAAATTTATGCACCAAACACCAAAACCAAAGATGAGGACATTGAAGATTTCTACCCACTTCTGCAGTCTGAAATTGAGTGAACATGCAATCAAGATGTATTGATTATCACTGGTAAGTGGAATGCAAAAGTTGGATTATCACTTTTAAGTGGAATGCAAAAGTTGGAAAGTTACTAGTAGTTGGAAAATACGGCCATGGTGATAGAAATAATGCTGGAGATCGCATGATAGAATTTTGCAAGACCAAAGATGTATTCATTCCAAATACCTTTTTTCAACAACACAAGCAATGGCTATATACATGGACTTCACCGGATGGAATACACAGGAATTAGATTGACTACATCTGTGGCAAGAGGTGATGGAGAAGTTGAATATCTTCAGTTAAAACAAGGCCACAAGATGATTCTGGAACAGATCATTGACTGGTCATATGCATGTTCAAGTTGAAGTTGAAGATAATTAAAACAACTCCACGAGGCCCAACATATGACCTTGATAATATACCTCCTGAATTTAGAGACCACTTACAGAATAGACTTGATGCATTGAACACCAGTGACTGAAAACCAGAAGAATTATGGGATGACATCAAGAACATCATCCATGAAGAAAGCAAGAGGTAATTAAAAAGACAAGAAAGAAAGAAAAGACCAAATGGATGCCAGAAGAGATTCTGAAACTTGCCCTTGAGTGGAGAGTAGCTAAAGCAAATGGAAGAAATGAGAAGATAAAAGAGCTATACAGAAGATTACAAAGAGCAGCTCGAGCAAAACAAAGTCAATTACTATAATGAAATGTGCAAAGACCTAGAGTTAGAAAACCAAAAGGGAAGAACATGCTCAGCATTTCTCAACCTGAAAGAACTGAAGAAAAAATTTAAGCCTCAAGTTGCAACATTGAAAGGTTCTATGGGCAAAATGTTGAATGATGCATGAAGCATCAAGAGAAGATGGCAGGAATACACAGAATCACTGTACCAAAAAGAACTGGTCAATCTTCATTCATTTCAGGAAGTGGCATATGATCTAGAACCAATGGTACTGAAGGAGGAAGTCAAAGCTGCGATGAAAGAATTGGTGAAGAATAAGGCTCCAGGAATTGATGGAATACCCATGGAGATATTTCCACAAACAGATGCCCCATTAGAGGCACTCACTCGGTTATGCCAAGAGATTTGAAAGACAGCTACCTTGCCAACTGACTGGAAGAGATCCATATTTGTACCTATTCCCAAGAAAGGTGATCCCACAGATTGTGGAAATTGTAGAACAATATTGTTCTATAATTAATTAATGTTCTATAATTAATATCGCATGCAAGTAAGATCCTACTGAAGATAATTCAAAAACAGTTGCAGCAGTATATTGACAGAGAACTTCCAGAGCTGCAAGCTGGAATCAGAAGTGGACATGGAACAAGAGATATCATAGCTGTTGTCAGATGGATCTTGGCTCAAGGCAAATAATACCAGAAAGATGTTTACTTGTGTTTTATTGACTATGCAAAGGCATTTGATTGTGCGGATCATGACAAATTATGGATAACATTGAGAAGAATGGGAATTCCTGAGCACTTGATTGTACTCATGAGGAATCTGTACCTTGACCAGGAGGCTGTTG